CACTCCCTTCTTCTTTCTTTTTCTTCCCTTCCTTCTCATTCACTCCCTCCTTCCTTTTCATTCACTCCCTTCTTCCTTCTCATTCACTCCCTCCTTCTTTCTTTTTCTTCCCTTCCTTCTCATTCACTCCCTCCTTCCTTTTCATTCACTCCCTTCTTCCTTCTCATTCACTCCCTCCTTCTTTCTTTTTCTTCCCTTCCTTCTCATTTACTTCCTTCTCATTCACTCCTTCCTTCTTTTTCATTCACTCCCTCCTTCCTTCTTTTCCTTCCTTCCTCCTTTCCTTCCTTCTCATTCACTCCCTCCTTCCTTTTCATTCACTCCCTCCTTCCTTCTCATTCACTCCCTCCTTCTCTTTTTCTTCCCTTCCTTCTCATTCACTCCCCCCTTCCTTCTCTCCAAAGAAACAAGCCAACACCCTGGTCAGCACCCTGATGAAGTGTAGCCCTCATTACATCCGGTGCATCAAGCCGAACGAAACCAAGAAGTCCCGAGATTGGGAGGAGAGCCGGTAAGGCAGCGGGGAATCCTGGGAGTTGTAGTCCACACAACTTAAAACTCGACAAGCTTAGGAAACACCAATTTAGGCAGAGCGCCTCCCCCTCCTCCCCCCCCCGGCCCTCCATCCGGGACCCACAATTTGCACCGGGGGGGGGGGGTCACAGCAGCGAAGGAACAGAGAGCTGGGCCTCCAAGAGACCCCCCCCCATTTCTGCCCCCTCCCTTTCGCAGGGTGAAGCACCAGGTGGAATATTTGGGGCTGCAGGAGAATATCCGGGTGCGACGGGCCGGCTACGCTTATCGGCGAGTCTTCCAGAAGTTTCTCCAGAGGTGAGAGCTCCCGGAAGCCTTTTTTATCAACCCCCCCCCCCCAAAAAAAAACCCCGCCTGCTTTTTCAGCCCACCTGCTGGAGGTGGATCTGCCAGGCTCCATCCTTCCCCCCCCCCCTCCTGCCCAGGTACGCCATCCTGACTCGGGAGACGTGGCCCTGCTGGCGTGGGGACGAGAGGCAAGGCGTGGTGCACCTGATGAGGTCGGTCAACATGGACCCCGACCAGTTCCAGCTGGGACGCACCAAGGTGTTCATCAAAGCCCCCGAATCGGTGAGCACCGGGAGACGCTCCGGGAATGGGTGCCCAAAAGCCCGCGACCCCCGTGGGGGAGGGAAATGGGGACGGTCTCCCTTCGTGCCCGCTTAAGAGCCAAGGTGGCGCAGTGGTTAAATGCAGCACTGCAGGCTACTGCTAGATCAGCAGTTCAGTGGTTCAAATCTCACCGGCTCAAGGTTGACTCAGCCTTC